AAAATTAATATTTAATATTTTATAAAGAAATTAACAATTTTTTTTAATTTCACAGGCAAATTTGCCTGCTAGACAATCTAAGGAATAACCTTACATTTGTTGTATAGATGACGACCAATTGGATGTAAATACTGTAGAAAAATACAAATTAAGAACAGTTAGAGGAATAGAAGAATCAATTGCATCTGAAATCAAGAATAAAAAACCATTTGAGAATGAAAATGATCTATATAATAAGGTTAAAAACATTCCTATGGAGGCAAGAAAAAAAATCAAGGCTATGAAAAAATAAATTGTAATGAATAGAGCATTTAAATGTAATTGTAAACGTAGCAATTTCATGTAATATTTTTTTTAAACTTTTGCAATATTGCATACAATAACAAATCTGATATTCCGATACAAATGACGCTTTATTTTTTCAAAATAGAGTACAATATAATGAAATAAATGAAATATATGACATGCTTTCAAGGGAGAAAGCATCCAGAGACTAGAGCATTTAATGCGAATCTTCCAGCATCAATTGCTTTCTATAAATTTCTACAACTAACTTGTTTCCATCTATATCACTAACTACACCATCATAATCTTTATTTCTCACCAATATCTACAAAATTTTCTTCTGTCTATATCTCTTCTACCCACACAGACTATGTAAAATAATATTTCCTGCAGGAAATTACATAATGCTTAACATTACTTCACATCTATTTTTCAAGTTCAGATTCATATAGGATGTGATTTATTTGATCCAAGTGGGACTTTAGATCTCACTTTTTTATTCACCATACACCTCTATATCCCATACTTATACAATGTATAGCCTTTTAGGCCGAATTCTTTATTGATGTTGTAAATAAATTACATGATTTAGAGGAGTAACAGCCCATCAGCGAAATTTTTTAAGAAAAAAATTTTATTAATATATGTGTAAAATAAATATAAAGGATTGGAACGTAATTCATGATACATGACGAAGTTTTTCTTCTATGACTGCAGACTAATATACACAATTACTCCTGTTGCCTTTTATTGCCAACTCCTTTTCTATGTCTACCCTATCCTTTAATAAACCAACAATAACCTCCACTCCATTACCTGTTTCACATTCTTGCGCAACTCCTTCTCTTCTTCTGAAATCTCTTTTAAGGCAGACTCAGTAAAATGGATATCAAGAGGATTTTTACTTGTACAGGATATTCTATCTGAGACAAAAAAAATGAGCTGTTGTGACAATCCTATAGATATAGTCATAATCATCCCCAAATGCTTTGTTCGACTTTCATTTTCTCATATTTTTATTCACCTCTTGTAAGGGCTTTTACATTGAATCAAATTCTGAGCAAAACTCATAACCACTTGATATATCCTTGAGGGCTTTGATTGCATAATCAACTTGACCAGTACTTTCTTCACCAACAACTTCGAGCAGGTAAGCTCTTTTTTAGTTATTCTTTTAACAATAAATAGCGAGACATAAAGAATGGTTGAAATATATTTGCAATGTATGGCTTCATTGCATAGTACCCATATTTTTCAACCTGTGTTTTATTTCCTTTATATATTATATTAATTCTTCTTTGTCATCTTCAAGTTTATAGGTTGCCTAAAAAATTGAGAGAAATATGCATCTGTGTATAAATACACTTCCTTCAAACTGTGGTAAGTCTAGAATATAATGCTTTGGCTTTCTTTGAAGATCTTGGCTTTTTTTTAAGAAGTATTGTGTTGCTGATCCTAATGCAAAGCCAATACTATAAAATTTTTCTTAATTTATGATATTATGATAACTGGTAAAGTTTTATGTGTAAATTGTTAAATTTATCATAATTTACAAGGGTTGCATTTTGCTAAAATATGTTAGATCACTGATAAATCTATAAGTGCATAATAGTGTTCCGCAAAAAATCCGATTCGATCCGAATCCGATCCGGATCCGATGGATCGGATCGAATCGGATTTATCAGATTCGAATCAAATTCAGATCCGGATTTGGGTTTGATTCGATCTGTCAGATCCAGATCGGATTCGAATTCGGATTTGATTCAATCCGACGGATTCGGATTTGGATTTGGATCCGATCCGTCAGATTCGGATTTGGATTCAGATCCGATCCGTCAGATTCGAATTTGGTTTCATATCCGATTTGT